ATGGTATTAAAATTATTTTAATATAAAGTAGGGGAGTCCATTAATGTCATCCCTGTATTATATTGTGTTGACTGAATAGTACATAACTATACCATGCACTAGAATGCACTACACAAATTAGTGATTAACTAGCATTGATAATATTTATACCTTTATCACTGTTAACGTAGTTATTTTTACACTATTATTATTATTTATTATGAATACAGTAAAAGTAGTTTATTAAACATAATATACATTTAGTTAAGTTAATGAACTGTAAATATTAGATCTCAAAAAACTAATTATTACAATTTGAAATAGCAATAAATAAATTGGTTCCTGATATAAATATTTAAATTGCTTTTAAAATCTATAAAATAAAACATACCTGGCTTATCGTGTACAAATAATAGATAAGCACATTTTTTGATATAGCATAAACTATGATGTCATAAAGTTTCCAAAATGCATAACAAGTTATAGTATATAAACAGCACTTATTCTCAAATATTTACAAAACACTTAACTTGTAATAAATAAAAAAAAGTTAAACAATAATTGTGTCTAAAAAATGTCTAAACCCCTGAAAGTGCTGTTCGTACCGGTGACGGGTGCCGAGTGTTACGCCTGTATCGGTGTGGCCGAGGGGCTGATAACCGCCGGACATACTGTCCTATTTGCCGTAGACAGCATGTGGGCCGGTAAGTTTACCCAGTATGGTATTCAAGAGGTTTTACTAGAAGCACCTGCCGGCCCACATACCGGCCCCCATGGCGGTCCCCAAGATGCCAACGCGGCTAAAATAGGCAGGATACAACACCTTATGAAAACGGGCAAAATAGGTCCATTGCCACCAATCGAAAAGATTCAGCATGGTCGATCGGGAATAGGCGGTTTTGCGATGTTGGCCATGAAATTTGACAAACAGGTGGAGCCACTGTTGACTAGTATTAAACCAGATTGTATAGTATTGGAGCAGTTCCTGACACTGCCATCGGTGGCACTGTCGGGCATACCTTATGTTTGGCTATGGAGTCCCAATCCCTTGTGTATGGTGAATGATGATAGAGCACCTCCTATGTGTTCGGGTATGTTTCATAAATAATTATACTTTGGAATAGACAAGTTTTATTTGGATCAAGTCCGAAATTAATTACTATTATTATGCTAATAGAGAATATGATATTAGACAAAATAATGATGATAAATATTGGCCGGTGAGCTTGAGCAAAAATACAATAATATGTAATACTCCCACACCGGTTTATTAGTTTTAGTTATAAATCATAAATTATAACTTATAATATAGAATAATTTTTTGATTATTATTTTAAGTTGCAGTTTGTAATTTTTACAAATTGAAAATATTAGAATTATTATTTATAAGTTAAAAGTATTAATAATAAAACTCAATAATTTAAATATTGAATAAAATATTGATTTGATTTGATTTTTATAGGACTTTCTGTTAACGGAGATAAGAAATTATGGCAAGAATTCAGAGATGTTTGGAATAATGAGTGCAAAGAATCGTTGACTAAATTCAATGAATATGTTGTCTCCAGAGGTTGTCAACCATTAAAAGATAACGCATTTACCGACGTCTCAAAGTGTCTCAATATATACGGCTATCCATTGGAGTTGGACTACACGGACATCAGACCATTGCCCAGGAATTTCATCAGATTTGATAATTTTAAGAGATTTGATAAACACTTGGAGTTTGAGATACCGGTGCCGTTGAGGGACAGACCGGGAAAGTTGATATACTTCTCGTTGGGATCTATTGGTGGCGCGGATGTGGAGAATATGAAGAGATTATTGAAAATTCTGTCGAAATCTAAGCACAGATTCATTGTATCGAAAGGACCTCTTCATGAGGAGTATGAGTTGCCGGACAACATGTGGGGCGCGGCTACTGTTCCCCAAATACAAGTCCTACAGTTAGTCGACTTAGTTATCACTCATGGAGGGAACAACACTACAACAGAAACCATGTATTTCGGGAAACCTATGATTGTATTACCACTATATGGCGATCAATACGATAACGCCCAACAAATTCAGGACAAAGGCTGTGGTATACGTCTGGATACCTACCGGTGCACTGAAGAGGAAATGTTGAATGCCATCGAAAAGCTGTTAAACGATAAGCCATTGAATGAAAAACTGCGGAAAATATCGTCGAGAATACAATCGGATAATAGTATCGCAAAACTTCCGGCTATTATTGAGAGTTATACTCAAAACCCAAACAATTACTTATAAATTACTTATGATTTTGTTTTTAATTAATTAATTTTAAAGATTGTCTATTGAATTGTTATCTTATAATAATATTAGTAATTGTATATTTTATTAAGCCTTAAATAAAATAAAATAATATTAATATGTCTCACTACTTTTGTAATTTAGCAATTTTATTAAATAAATATAAGGAAAATATTTTTATTGATAAGGTTTATGTTAATCTAGTATAAAGTTAATTTAATTTAATTTTTACAAATTAAAATCAATAATTTATAATGCATATTGATAAAAATTTTATCTATGTTTGCAAACTATCAATAAAATGTTATAATTAATATTCTAAATTTTTAATTACACACAATATTATTTATAATTATTGTAATTAAAATTTTTCCAAAACATTGTGTAATATGCTAATTACTAAGCTAATGATAACATTACTTTAATAACGAAAAACTCATAATTGTCTATTAATTTGAATAAAAGTATTGCAAAACTTCCCGAAATAATAGAGAATTATATTTAAAATCTTATAAACTATATCTAATATAAATTAGAAAACTGTATATTATATGAAATCATTTGTTTATTTTAATGTTTGTTTAAAATTAAAGTTTACAATCAATGAAACCATTGGTGCTCTAAATAAAATTAAATTCTTAAAATTAATTACATTATTTATATTTTACAATAATTTCATAAAATTTTATTTTAATTACCAATGACTGAAATCAAAAATGTAATTTGTGTATTGCTAATTAATCGTGCATAACTATACGATGTACTAGAATGCACTTGTTTATTATTTCTAATACAATAAAATTATCTTAACCTTTATCTTATATAAAACAACTAATTTCTACACCTTTATTATAGAATTTATTTAATCATGGTAATATTAACACTGTGTAAATAATTTATTTATGAATTTATTTTAAATTAAAATCACAAAATCTCGTAAAAACTGTAAAAATAATACTTTATTAAAAAAACTGAATGTTTTAAGTTAATTTGACATTGGCACAAAATTGACGTTAAAAGTAAAATATTACTTACCTATGCTAACATGTAGTACAAAATAATCACTAGCATTAAAATAACTACATTTATATTTGTACACGATAACATTATCAGCAAATATGATATTATAATAAACCTAACAATTGGTAAAAGTTTTTGTATATAAACACGACTTATTGACACGTATTTACAATAAATCACAAAAAAACTTAACGTTTAATACAAAAGAGTTTTATAATAATTGAGACTAAAAATGCCTAAAACTTTGAAAGTCCTATTCATACCGATCCCGGGGGCCGGGCATATGAACGCCTGTATTACTATAGCCGAGGGGCTGATAGCCAATGGACATACTGTCCTATTTGCCATACACACCATATGGGCCGGCACTTTGGATAAGTACGGTATCCAAGAGGTATTACTGGACGTGCATGCCGGCCCCCAATCACCTGAAGTGGCAATGACTGATATGGCACAGGTAGCTAAGCATATGGTGAAGACGGGTAAAATCAGCGGACTGTCCCCTATTGAAAAGGCCCGTCAGGGAGGGTCGGGAATGGGAGGTCGAGCCGAGAAGACTATTATGTTTGACCGACAGGTGGAGCCCGTGTTGGCGAGTGTTAGTCCCGATTGTATAGTATTGGATCAGTTCATGACACTGCCATCGGTGGTGAGGTCAGGTGTACCCTATGTTTGGATACACAGTGCCGGTCCCCTCATTATGGTGGACGATGTTAGGACACCACCGGCTGCATCAGGTAAGCCGTATGTTAATCAAAATTACACTGTTTAAATAAACTGTAAGTAGATTTAGTAATAACATTAGTTATTATCAAATAATTATGTTTTAAAATATTGTATAACTGTTTGATGCAGAGTAATTAATTGTGATTTAAAAAAGTTATTAATTTTTAATGGTTTTAATGAGTTTTGTTTACAAAATTATATTATAACCCGTATGTGAACTGTTATAATTAGAATTAACTATAATTTATAATTAATTATATTTTAAATTTAGTATTGAAAAACACATTTATTTCAAATTATTTAGAAAATATATTTAATAACTTTATTATACATAACAATAATGTAAAATAAGTAGTATGATCAAGTATGTTAAGTCAAATATTAATTAATAAATTATTAAAACTATTTAAAAGTTATAGCTTAGTTAACTAAAAAATATTCATAATAATTATTGTTCCAACAATTTAATTAAAACTATTTTTATTTGTATTTTAGGATTGTATGCAAATGGAGACAAGAAATTATGGCAAGAATTCAGAGATGTTTGGAATAATGGGTGCAAAGAGTCGTGGATTAGATTCAATGATTACGTGGTGTCCAGAGGTTGTCAACCATTAAAAGATAACTCATTCAAAGACACCACAAAATGTCTCAATATATATGGCTATCCATTGGAGTTGGACTACACGGACATCAGACCTCTGCCTAAGAATTACATCAGATTTGATAATTTGAAAAGAAATGACAAGCACTTGAAGTTTGACATACCGGTGCAGTTGAGGGACAGACCTGGAAAGTTGATATACTTTTCGTTGGGATCTATGGGTGCGGCGGATGTGAAGAATATGAAGAGATTAGTGACTATTTTGTCGAAATCTAAGCACAGATTCATTGTATCGAAAGGACCTCTTCATGAGAAGTACGACCTACCGGTCAATATGTGGGGCGCGGCTACTGTTCCCCAAATACAAGTCCTACCGTTAGTTGATTTGGTGGTAACCCATGGAGGGAACAACACTATCACCGAAACCATGTATTTCGGGAAACCTATGATAGTCTTACCTCTGTTTGGCGATCAATACGATAACGCACAACAGGTTGAAGACAAGGGTTTCGGTATACGACTCGATGCCTACCAGTGCTCTGAAGATAAGTTATTGAATGCCATCGAAAAGCTGTTAAACGATAAGCCATTGAATGAAAAACTGCGGAAAATATCTTCTCGAATACAATCGGATAATAGTATCGCAAAACTGCCGCAAATTATTGAGGATTTTGTTGAACATCGAGAGAAATATATTATTTATACTTACTAGTTAATATAAAATTTAAAATTCGAAATAAAATATTAAAAATTACATTAATAATATTATAAACTCTAATTTCCTAAAATCACAAATCTAATTTATAAATTGTAAAATACTATTCTAGATTAATAATAATTATTGTAGGAGGTTATACATAATTATTATCAATGATAATTTATCATTATAGATAACTGAAAAAGCAATACGAAATGAGGTTGGCAAAAAATGCTTTAATTTTATGTTTGCATATTGCTTTCATCTAAAGAAAGTTATTAAGTTTAATATACCGTATATTTTATACCGTGTTATATACTGTGCTATATATTATAAAGTTATATGAATATCATATGAGATAATCACATACCAAACGTGGACATGAACTCTATGAGTAGTATAAAAGTTAGTATTCATTTCAATGCTATGTAGTCATATGTAAGCAGAGTTCATGTCTACTTTTGGTATGTGCCTGTCTCATATCATTTTGAAAACATGAATAGCATATACAGCCTAATGTTTAGTACAGTACTTAAAAACGCACTTAACTTATCATCATGATAATCGCATTAAATAAATATGTTTTCAATCACTATAAGCATTATAAATGAATTTTATTTCAGCGTATTCATACAGAATTATTAAAACAAATTGTAACTTGCTCCAAAATTATTTGAATCAGTTAACTAGTTATTATTAAGTGAAATGACAAAACAGTTAAATATACTGTTCATACCGTTCCCAGTGGTGGGTCGTGTGAACAGCAGTGTCGGCGTAGCGGAGGTGCTGATAGCTGCCGGACATAGCGTCACATTCGCAATGAACCACCACTGGTTGGGAAGGCTAACAAAGTACGGCATTCGGGAGGTACTACTCGACGACACCGATACCTTAAGCACTGAGACCTCGTCCCGGGACTTCATAAAATCAATGTCTCAACAACTGGTTAAGTCGCAGATTGTGAGTTCACTGTCCCCTTTGGAAAAGGCGAGGATTAAGGGCAAATACCAGGATAGAGTGGACAAGGTGCTAAACTTGGACAGACATATTGAGAAAATGCTGATAGATTTGAAACCAGATTGTGTAATACTGGATCAGTTTGTGGCCATACCTTCTGTGGTACTGTCGGGTATACCTTTCGTGAACTCAAATAGCGTAGCGCCCCTATCCATGTGGGACGACCCCCGGACACCACCCCCGGCATCGGGTAATTAAATATATAAATTATTTATAAAATATTTAATTTTGATTAAATAATTTAAATTATCATTTGTTAGGACTCTCTGCGAATGGAGATCAGAAATTATGGCATCAATTCCGGGAAGTTATGTATCATTCATGTAAAGAGTCGTGGATTCAAATCAATGATTATATCGTCTCAAGAGGTGGACAACCGTTGAATGAAAACTGTTTTCACGATACAAAACAAGCCCTTAATATATACGGCTATCCATTGGAGTTGGACTACACGGACATCAGACCTCTGCCTAAGAATTACATCAGATTTGATAATTTGAAGAGAACCGAAAAAGAGTTGGAGTTTGAGATACCGGTGCCATTGAGGGACAGACCGGGAAAGTTGATATACTTCTCGTTGGGATCGATGGCATCTGCAGACGTGGAGAATATGAAGAGATTAGTGACTATTTTGTCGAAATCTAAGCACAGATTCATTGTATCGAAAGGACCTCTTCATGAGGAGTACGACCTACCGGTCAATATGTGGGGCGCGGCTACTGTTCCCC